CTGCGCTTAGAATTGAGGTTGTTGACCGCCGCAGACGTTAGAAACAAACTCCAGGGGCCCAAGTCATCCCAAGTCGGGTACTTGCGGCGGATCCGCCTGAGGAAGCAAAGCGCAAACTTGTTACTGCTTCAGACTCTCGCAAGGGAACTTCCGTGAGACTGGGCGCAGAGCCACCCGTCCCCCGGGACGCCGGGAGTTGCTCTTCCCTCCATCCTGCTGGAGCAAAGGTCGAGGGGACGTGTGGCGAGCCCAGCCACTACCCAGGCCCGGGGCCGACAGGGCACACCCGCAGCCGGAGGCCGAAGACTCCATCAGTTCAGCGAGTGAAGAACAGACCTGCGATCCACTCAGGGCGCGGAGCTCGGTGGAGCACAGATTTGGGATTGGGGCGGGGCTGAGGACGGGCAACCAATCCCTGGAAGGACTTTGGAAGGGGGTGCCACGTGGGAGGGGCCTCTGGCCGGGCAACCAATCTCGGGAGGTCTCGGGACAGGGGCGGGGCGGGCCGGGCCAGGACCTTGGCTGCACAAGGTCTTTTGCCCGCCCGGGATCTTTCTGGCACTTAGTAGCTCTAGAAGTAGTAGTGCACCTTGCTCCAAGAATCCTTCTTGAAACTTCCAGCGTCCCATCCCAAAGAACCGGATTTATCAGGCTGCTCACCAGTCCTTGGCACTGAGGAATCGGAGTGTCTCCGGTCACTGAGCCTTCCTGGTCTGCTCAGTTACTCTCTCCCCACCTCGGAGTCTATGCTCCGGTCTCACAGCTTCTAGAATCCTGAACTGCTATTTCTTTGCTATATTTTTATTCACTTATACGATCAGTTAAGTTAAGTGAGTGCTTCTATGTACTCTGCAGCTTCCTAATTCTTAAATGGACGAAATAAAAGGCCTCCCTTAGACTGAGTCAGTAGTAAGAGGATACCTCTAAAGAAGAGTCATGGGAAGGAGTTGAGGTCTTCAAATTCTTCAGCTTCTCAGTTCCCAGCTTCCCACTGTTTTGGCAGCTGGAGGGACCCTACCCCACGAATACTCCACCCCACTCCTGTAGTCTCTGCTCTCACCTATCTCAGCCCATCCTTGGCCATTATTTTTTGTCTCCTGTCTCTTCATTGATTTCCTCTTTCTGTCTTCGGTTCTTTGTCTGGTTCGTGACATGAGTTTAACCACTATTCATGTGGTACCTTGCTGATGTCGACTCACCACCTCATTATTATTTCTCTTCCAACTCCTCCCCTTTCTCCCTCTCTTCAAGTAGCATACTAAGAACATCTTTTATTAATGTTTCTTTACACAGTTTTACATTCTTTATAGATACGTCTTTAAACACCATGCACATGTTTACATGACATTGTGGCGAATGAAAGTGCAGCAACACTGTTCTCAACTAGGAAAGTAATACTCCAGAAATTCTGTATACATGTTTCTATAAAACCCCGACTACCCAATTTCTCAGTATGCTTACTTAATTGACTTTTCTTTTCCTTCCTCTCCCATTTCCTGACAATTAAATTCACATTTTCTGCAACCTAATTTTACCTAGTAAAATATGTATGTCTCTTCATAGTATAGTTGAGTAAAACCAGAGATGAGGGGAACCATGATTGTGAAATAAAGTGAAAGAGAGAAATGCCCATTCCTCAGGAGCACCAGCCTTATGTTGGGATGTGTTTGTTATTTTATAGAATCAATAGGTACTGAAAACCTACCACATGCCAAATCACTGTAAATAGACCTGGGAGTAAGTAGACAAAAATCCAAAGCATAAACTTTATTCTTTTGGGACTTTCAATCTAGTAGACAAACATGAATGTAAGACTCACTTAAAATGTAAATTTGCCACTTGACAAGAGCTAAAATGGAGATATCAGGGTTCCTGCGTAAGGTTGGAAGAGATGAAGAAGCAGAACATTGAAGATGCGTATATGAGAGCATGGCACAGTGATGCACACCCAGAGATGTGGGAGGCTAAGGCAGGAGGATCACAAGGTCAAGTCCAGCCTCTGCAACTTGGGGGGGGGGGCTGCTTTAAAAAATGAAAAGGGCTGAGCATTCAGTAGTAGAATGCTTCTGAGTTCAATGCCCAGTACCAAAAAAAAAAAAAAAAAAAAAAAGTGTATCTGAGGCAAAGAAGAGGAGCTTGGGGTCTAGTTCCAGGCAAAAGCAAGAGTGTGTACAGAATGTGTGCTCCAGGTTGGAGCTCTGTTCATTCCTAGAAGAGCAGGATGTCTGCCATAACTTTAGTACAAACAGCCAAGAGATTAAGTAGAAAAAAGATGCAGGATATCATAATATAAACCAGGCTACAGGTGGGATGTGGCTAGAGATGTTGGAGGCTATCAGATCATGGTAGACATTTAGGCCATATTAAATGCCCATAGATCAGATACTCAGGAGAATGAAGTAATAGAATTGCAAGATGGAGGTCAGCCTGGCCAACTTATAAAGGACTGAAGATGCATTTCAGTGGTAGAATGCCCTGTGTTAAATCTCCAGTACTTATCCCAACACATACACAAGCCCATAAATGATGCTCATTAATAATGTGTTGTATACATGCATGTCAATAAAAAGTTATGTTTGCCAGACCGGCATATGTTTGTGTTGGTATATTACATAATAGTAGCCAATTTTCACTGCTCAGTTTTTACATTCTCCGACTCCTTTAACTGCTCTATATAGTTTTTTTTTTTAAAATTAAATCCTCTAACTCCCTATCCAGTAGCCAAGATTAAATTCCTCAATTTCCACCTGAGTACCTGCCATGCCCTGTATACCTGAACCTGAGAAACCAGCAAGGGGCATTAGGAAATTAAGAAACACACACACAGATATTAAGACCAAAGGCTGGGATCAGGTAGAGCACTGCTCTCTGATGAAGAAGCAGTTTCTAAAGAGTTGACCCAGCAAGTTTATTTATATAATGTTTCATAATCAAGAAGTACAGGACTATAGAAGCATTGTTCTTTGTGCACTAGAAAGTTACAAGGCTAGAAACATTCTTGTAGCCATTTCACTGCTGCAATGCTTAGAGCTTCCTGCAGCACTCCAGGATGCCCATTGTCTAAAGTTACTGTTAAGTGGGCAGGCTACAAAGTAGGAGCGTTGGTGAAACATTGTAGTTGTCTTGTCAAGCTTAGAATTCCTCTCTCCCCAGAGCTATGAGCCTGAGATCAAGGTAGAGACTGATAAGTCTCTTGCACAGAAACTTGGTGGGGGTGGGGGTTGGGAGGGTTGGGGGTATCACCATAACAACTGGGCATCCTGTACCCTTGCCTAGATACATTCCCAGGTAGCACGTATGCCACAGCTATGAAGCAGTCAGGGATCCCCCAATCTCAGTCACCACACTCCATAAGGACCCATATATTGCTAATATTTTGTGAAAACATTTTGATTCCCCAGTCTAATAGAACACTAGTGAGCCTATCAGGCATTCTAAGCACATCCAATGAATGTAGCAGTAGAGATTCCAGTTCTTCTCTGAACATTTGCACACTTGTGTGCAAAAACATACATATTTAGATAATCTGCAATGGCAAGATGGTGGATACATAATCCACCAGCATGGAATCTCAATTTCTGTAATTTTGAA